GGAAACACGCCACACTTGTCATAAAACTATATTATACATTTTTTTTGTTTTCTCACACAACCCTGGCAGTCAACTGAAACTCAAGTGCAATCCCCGACCGCTCAATCCGAATTCTCACAATGTTCTGAACAAGTTACAACAAACCAGAATTGCCCAAAACAATACTTCCGCCCCACAGGTAATAACAAAAACACGTTTAAATGTAAACATCCTTTCATACCACAACCAGACGTTTAGGTCAGCGTTTTACAGCCCGCATAAGGTCAGATTATAGGCTGTTTTATAAGGGCTGTTGTTTACAATATGTGCACTAGATGCTAAACCATTAGGTATTTTTTTGTAGAAATTAGATGTTCCATATAATCATTGTATAACCTATATGTCTTTAAATAGTTTTTCTCTTGGCATAGAATTTTACTTCACTTAACTGAACTGATTTAACAAGCATTCGGAGACCTCATACCACCATGAAATATTGGTTTTCGTAATTGTTTTATTTCTCTCATTGACTCTGAAAATAAGGTCGCAATTATCATAATCTAGTTACCTCCATGGGAAGCAGAGAGAAGTCTGGCAAAAGATAAGAATTCTTTCAAACAAGCGTAGCACGAAGTCCTCAGCAGTAAGAGATAAATCTGGCAAGCTAATTTCTGATCCTGAATCCCAAAGAGAACGCTGGGCTGAGCATTTTTCTGAGTTGCTGAACCCTCCACAAGACAGTGTTGACCTAACAGTACTAGACAGTTTACCAGGTATACCTTGCTTTCAATATCTTGGGGAGGAGGATGGCCCGCCGACAGTTGAGGAAATTCAGAACACCTTGAAAAGACTGAAGAACCACAAGACTCCAGGCGTGGACGGTGTATTCAATGAGCAACTGAAATATGGTGCACCTGGCTTGACGAAAACCCCGGAAACTCTCTTCGCCAAGATTTGGCATGGCGAGGCTATCCCCGAGGATTGGTCCAAAGGCATAATTGTTGTATTACCAAAAAAGGGGGATACTACACACTGCGCCAACAATCGAGGTATAACGCTTAGATCAACTGCCTCAAAGCTCTTTCAAATTATTGTCCTGGGACGTCTGAATGAGGGTCTGGAAAATCTACTGAGGGACAATCAGTGTGGCTTTAGGAAGAATAGATCGTGCATCGACCAGATTTACTCCTTGCGAACTATCATTCATAACAGCTTTGAGTTTAATATTCCCCTGTACATTAACTTCATTGACTTTAAAGCTGCTTTTGACAGCATCAACCGTGAATTTATCTGGAAGGCCTTTGCTTTTTATGGATTGCCAGGGAAATACATCAGGGTTTTGCAGGCCTTCTTCCACAAGACTGTCAGTGCAGTGAGAGTGAACGGAGAGGAATCAAACTGGTTCGATGTGACATCTGGGACTGGACAAGGGGACATTCAAGGGCCCCCAGTGTTTAATGTTTGCATAAACCTGGCAGCACACTTAACTGAGATAAGCAAACAAATCAGTACAGGTGCAGTGTTGCAGCGGGATAGTCATGGCAAGCCGTCGGTCTCTGTTGTGGATACGGACTATGCTGATGACATGGCTTTACTTGACAACAAGAAACTGGGTCTACAGGAGACAACTGATCTGTTATGCAAAAACAGTGCTCTTGCGGGACTTAAGGCCAACGCCAAAAAGACGCAAGCTATGACAGTCGGCAAGCATATTGCACAGCAACCTTACACTGAAGAAAGCACACTCAGGATCACGGTAGATGGATATCCCGTGGAGCAGGTTACTCACTTTACTTACCTGGGAGGTACAATCAGCAGTAACGGGACAATTGACTCTGAAATTTCCAAACGGATTCAGAAAGCTTCTGGTGCTTATAACTTACTTGGTAAGATCTGGAACAACAGGAACATCCTTCAGTCGACAAAATTTCGGATATACAATGCTGCTGTTGTTACCATACTTACCTACGGTAGTGAAATTTGGACTACTACCCAGGTGCAGATAGCGAGACTTGAAACGTTTCATCAACGCTGTTTGCGCCGTATCCTCCGCATCAGATGGTATCACCGGGTACGGAACAGTGATGTACTGCTGCAGGCACAGTTAGTGAACATAGCCACAACCGTAGCTTTCAACAGGCTTAGGTGGTTTGGGCACATTGTAAGAATGCCTGAAGAGCGGCTGCCCAGGTATCTACTAGACTGGAAACCGAACTATGGGCGACGCTCTAGGGGAAGGCCTAGGAAGTCATGGAATAACTGTGTCCTGGAAGATGATGTGCTGATCTTAGGGAGGCCCAGTACCAGTCTAGAAGAGTTAAAGGAAACAGCAAGAGATAGGAAGGAGTGGAGAGGACTGTTGAGGAAGAGACGAGTTCTGTGCGCAGGCCACTCGAACGATTGACTCGAGGAGACCTCAACAAGTACAAGTAAAGTAAGTTACCTCCATGAAATGTGTCATGGAGGTTATATTTTCAGTTGCGTTTATCTGTCCTTCTGTCCGTCTGTTGGTCAACAAGATAACTCAAGAACGCCTGGATGGATTGGTTTCATACTTGGTGTGTTGGTAGGGTGTGACGAAAACTGGAAATGATTAGATTTTGGTCCCCCTAGTGGCTTCCGTTGGTACTGCAGCGCAACTTCCGGTTTTGATATCTCGCGATCTGGACATGCTAGGGTCATAAAATTTTGATGGCAGGTAGCTCTCATGCTTGGGAAGAAGTCACATGAGTTTGGGCCCCCTAGCGGCTTGTTCTGAAACTGCAGGGCACTTTCTGGCGAAATGTTTAAAAGCCAATAAGTCCAGTCAGGAACAACATATTTTCATTATTTTTGGTGTGTAGGTAGCTGAGAGAGAGATGTACATAATTAAATGCAAATTATGCAAATGAGGATTTTATTTGCATAATTATGAGGAAATTCTATAATTACAGTGTTTTACATTATACTACTACATGTATGTAACCTATGGCAGGCGGAACTTCAACAGATACTAATTATGCAAATGATGACCTAATTTGCATAATTAA